AGGACAGGAACGTCTCAGTCTGCTGCAGAGGACACCTGGACAACAAGGTCCTTTAGGACAGGAACGTCTCAGTCTGCTGCAGAGGACACCTGGACAACAAGGTCCTTTAGGACAGGAACGTCTCAGTCTGCTGCAGAGGACACCTGGACAACAAGGTCCTTTAGGACAGGAACGTCTCAGTCTCAGTCTGCTGCAGAGGACACCTGGACAACAAGGTCCTTTAGGACAGGAACGTCTCAGTCTGAGTCTGCTGCAGAGGACACCAGGACAACAAGGTCCTTTAGGACAGGAACGTCTCAGTCTGCTGCAGAGGACACCAGGACAACAAAGACAATAAATCAGACAACTGATGGACGTACAAAGGCCAGAGGACCCTCGTCGATGTTGCAGCTGGTCCAGGGGTTCCAGTTGACCTGAGGTGGGGACCAGGGGACCACGCCGGAGACACTCTGCCGCTCTGAGGGCTCGAAGGACGCCATCTTCCCCTGAACCAGAGACACTGGACAGCTGGGGTCCGAGGGCTGCAGACAACAAACAGTAATCAACAGAGACACCAGGGAACAGGACCCTCGCTCATTCAGGTCTACAGAGGACTCACAGGAGGGGGGATCAAAATCCCCAGATTCTGGACCACCTCAGCCAGCTGCTGCTGCAGTTCTGGAGAAAAGTTGACCTCATAGATGTCCAACTGGAGACAGAGGACAAGCAGACAGTCAGGTGTTACTGCTGCTCCTTTAACAGACCTTACTTCCTGTTTGTTTGTTTGTGTGTTTTTGTGTGTTTATTTGTGTGTGTTTATTTGTCTGTCTGTTTACCGTCTCTCCCTCCTTCTTCTTGGTGACTCCAGAGTACGGCTCGATGACTCTCAGGTGGTACAGCTGTCGGACTATGGACAGAGCGCAGGACTGAGCCGCCAGCTTCTTGTTGGAGCCGTGTTCTCGAGCCGTGATCTCTGAGAAAACAGGAGGATCAGCCTGACAGCTGCACCTGGTGTCCAGGTGAAACAACAACAGGTGACCTGCTGACAGCTGCACCTGGTGTCCAGGTGAAACAACAACAGGTGACCTGCTGACAGCTGCACCTGGTGTCCAGGTGAAACAACAACAACAGGTGACCTGCTGACAGCTGCACCTGGTGTCCAGGTGAAACAACAACAACAGGTGACCTGCTGACAGCTGCACCTGGTGTCCAGGTGAAACAACAACAGGTGACCTGCTGACAGCTGCACCTGGTGTCCAGGTGAAACAGGTATAAAACAGTTTATAAATTAAGTCTTACTTCTGCCCAGCTGCCTCACAAACAGCTGCATCTCTGCGATGAAGCTCCTGCAAACACAAACACTGCAGCGTCACTTCCTGTGCCTTTCAGAGTAAAAGCCCCAGAGTATGCTTGGCGTGAGGAGCTGCACTCACCTGCTGCGTCCTCAGGAGGAAGCCTGTATGTTTTTCTGCCGGACTTTTAGGATTATCAAACGGCAGCAGCCAGCAGTTTCTCCTGGATGGTTTGTGTTCCTGCGGTGAACAGCGACACCAGAAATCACAACCAGACTCCAGCGACCCCCCAGCTGCACCATGGGACAGATTTAGAGCACCTAAACCCCGTCCCATGTCTTCGTTCAGTGTGGTTGTGAGTTCTGGTGTCCCCTCAGGTTTCACTCTGTTCTTTGACTGCTTGTGTGGACAGACGGAGCGGTTCTGATCCCTGGACTGGGCTAAGGTTCAGGAACAAACTGTGACTCTGGAGGTCTCTGGGTTTGCATCAGTCCAGCAGAAAAACATACAGGAACATCCTGAAGACCAGTTCTGCAGACCAACAAACACCAGCTGAGGAGCTCAGACCCAGAGGAGTTTGTTGTCGTAAAGGTTTTACTCCTGTTTGACTCACAGGTGGTAGAAATGAAAGAAACTCAGACGTGAAGCTGAAACAATTCAGACTAAAACCTGAGAAAAAAACTAAAGTGACCTGAAGTTTAGTGAATAAAACTGTTTTACTGCAGAAACTCTTTAGTTGTAGTTTTATTTTCAGCTCTGCCACAGGTGACAAAGACTGGATCAGGATCGGACTGCAGAGATCCCACAAACAAAACAGGGTCGATCAGAAACCAACGGACCCGTCAGCTGGACTGACCGACCCAAACAGAACCATTTACTGGTCTGTGGACGTTTAACAGGATTTAAAGGGTTTTAACTCTAAACCAACATTTTCACATCAAACTTTAAAAAAAAAATTCAGCTAAAAATGATAAAATCAACAAACAGGAGAAACTGGAGGAAGAAGAAGTCTTCATCTTTTCTCCACATTTCACATCTGTTACTGTTTTTATCTTTGCTAAATGATTTAAAATAATTTATTTTCTGCTTCAAACAACAGCATCAGATGAAGATCATCATCATCATCATCAGAAGTAGCTGCAAACGTTCAGATTATTAATCCTGACTGATTCACAGAAACTAAGAACTGCAGCTAAAATTAAAACTCAATAAAACAGATAAAAACAAAGTATTTGGTTTGAATCAAACTCAGACTTTCAGATTAAAAGTTTGTTTTAGCTTATTGACCAACAGAATAAAAACCAGATCCGGTTCCTAAAACCTGGAAACCTAAACCATCAGACTGAGTTTGGTTTCTGATGAGGCTGCTCTGGTCCAGACCTGTTGTGGTCCGGTCCCACTTGGCTGTATTTATACTCTGCACTGGTCTTCTCCTTCTGGAAGAACTGGTTCAGACGGGCCTTGGCGTTCTCCAGGGTCCAGTTCCCGTGGAGGCTAGCGTTCAGGTCCACCTCCTCAGACTCCAGGGTCTGAAAAATAAAAGCATGGTTTTCATGGACCGAAGCTCTCTGAAGTCATTTCAGTCAGACTGAAGGTCCAGAAGAACAGGGTCTGGTACCGCCTGAGCCTCCTGCTCCTCCTTCTTCTCATAGTACTCCTTCAGGTTGGCTCCTCGTTCCCACTGAACTCCTTCTCCTCCAAACTGTCCTCCTGAGTAACCCTGTCCCGTCACTCCTGGAATCGGACCACCGGACCCACCTTCATCTGGAAGAGAAGGACAGAGATTTCAAACAGGAAACGTGTTTTAAGACGACAGGAGTCCAAACTGCAGGTCTGACCTTTTTCCTCTTTGACCACAAGATGAGGAGGCAGAGGACCACCAGGAGGAAGGTTGTTCCCTCCTCCTCCTTCTCCTCCTCCTCCAGGTTGGTCTACAACTGGAAAACTGACCTGGAGACAAAACCCAACATTTACCTTCAGAGAACGACAGCAGACAAACACAACTGTTTGTTCACACTGAAACAGAACAGGGTTTTATTAAAACAGGTTTCATATTTTCTCCTAAAACCAGGAGGAGTTTTAAATAACAAAAACTGCATTTCTGACCCCGAGAGCCGGGACCTCAGCTGCACTCATTTCTCCGACTCGGACCAGATAATTAACAAAGTCCCGGGCGGCGTTGCTCTGAGCGTCCTTCTTGTTGGTGGAGTTTCCCATCCCGGTGTAGTTGAAGCCATCGACTCGAACCTGCAGGACGAGAGCGTTCACAGTCAGATACTGAAAACCTGAATGAATGAATGAATGAAAGACAGACGGAGGACTCACCTCACACATGAACTTCTGCCTGAGCTTGTTCCCCGCAGCTCGGATGTCGTAGCTCGGGGTCAGTTTCTTCTTTCCACACCAGGCATACAGGAAGTTCTTGATGTCCGCCATGGTGGGCTGACAAGAAGGGGAGCTTCCTCTTCAGTGGACTCTTTAAATCTGAAAAACCACATCAACAGCTTTCAATCCCCGAACACCAATTATTTACATCTCATCAGTGACGAGTGAACCAGCTGAGCTAAAAAACTGTATATCAGATGTAGAAATGACAGCTGCTTCTTCAACAACATCATAAACAAATGCTTACTATGAATAATACACAACATAGGAGTTATGTAAAACGCTGTGTACAAAGTTCAAAATAAAACTGAGAAACTTTTATTTTGAAGGAATAAACACTGTATGTGACATCAGAAGTTTTAAAACGTAGTCAGAACTGAACCGATTCTGATCTGGAACCAAGAAAACTGCTCACAAAAAGACAAAAATGGAGAAACAGATTTATGAGATGGAGCATAAAAACAGTCTGAATACATGGGAAATTACCAGAAACTGATTATTTAAAAGATATCTTAACCATATGGAAATGCATTAAATCGTATTTACAGCCACAGTTTGTAGCTTTATTAATTATCAGTTTTAAAGGCTAACAGATACTAAGCATTGATATATATTAGTGGATTGGGCGTGGCTAGCGTGTTGCTAGCTACACTGACGTGCACACACTGGAGCTCTGCTCTGCGCTGAGGAGCCTCAACACAATGACTGGAGGTCAGTGGACTGTGAGGCGTCATCCTGTTGAAAAACTCTTTTAAATTTATTACTAGCTCCATTTTTACAAACTATGGTTCAAAATAAAGCTGAGGAAATTTAAAATAGATAACTAATTTAAATGACTAAAACAGTGGCTTAAAATAAGAATTTTGTGTTTCACAGGAGTTTTTCATACAAATCAATGAGTTCTGACAGCTGGGTATTTATATATTTATTAATCAGACCTGAGTCTTAGACATTTAAAATAATTAAGTTAATCGTCCAAGTGCGTGTGTGTGTGTGTGTGTCTCTCATGTATAGTGATGTGTGTGTGTGTGTGTGTCTCTCTCATGTATAGTGATATGTGTGTGTGTGTGTGTGTGTGTGTGTCTCTCATGTGTGTGTGTGTGTTTAACAAATATTTCTTCTATAAAACTATAGAAGTTTTTGCTGTAAACTACAATAATTTAAACATCAGTAAAAACTAAAAAAGTAGAAATTATTTCAGGTCACAAAGAATTGTTTAATGAATGTATTTTTATAACAAATAATTATTCTTCAGCTTTATAATGATGCAGACTGTATCTGAAGCCGACCCACAGCTGACACACGTTTGTCTCCCTTTTCTCTGGAAATGTTGAAAAACACACAAATACTGAATATAGAAAAATACTATCTGAATAAAGCGGCCTGTCTGACAATGTGACTAGTTTTGTTTATGATGCTCAATCATTACATTACTGTCTGTCATTAGTGGGTCTACATCATTATTTCTGTATTTATATGCAGTCTAATAGTCAGTATCCAATAAAGTCCATATTTTACATGTTTAATATCAATAAATAATATATTTTACAACAGATAAAATCGATTTTAAATAAGGTTCAACATGAACATTGGAGCAATTTAAATGTTAGTGTACAGGTTTTAAGATTAAAATGATTAATTTTGGTTAAATATGCGTAATATTTACCTGGAGTTTATAGCAAAGTATTTGTACCATTTGTACATTTATAAAGTTTGTTTGCACCGCGCTACGTTCTGCTCATTGGTTTCAATGGTTAACGTTAGCATTAGCATAAAAAACCCCTTGCGAATCGCGACCAGGTCACGTGACGCCCAATCCAGTGATATTTATCAATGATAGTAACGTTAGCTTTGTCCTAAATGCTGACTTTAATGTCGTCCTACAAAATACAAAATGTTATCTTTTATTTCGTCCTAATATATGCTAACTAGCTTCGTTCTAACAGAAGCTATATTGCAGGTGCGTTACCCTGTCCGCGGGAACCCTATGCTAACGCTAACGTTAGCTTCGTGCTAAAAGACGCTAACGTCCTGCTAACTACACAGAATAACAAATCACGCTTTCACAAACATTGTGTATGACGCATCTATAATTTCAGTAACGTGCTGCACTCTGTCAATAATAACCCATAAATTTAAAATAAATCGTGTTTATTTTTACTCACAGTCAGCTCAGAAGCTTTGCACCGACAGCAGGAGGAAAACGTCGGTCTCTGTCGGACCGGGTTGTTTCCGGTGGTGTAGCGCCACCTAACGGTCCGGAGGAAATCAGACCAGGCTTCATGTATGGTCCCATTAAAAGAAAATGATCAAATTATTTATAATAAATAGAGTTAAAGTTGTAAATCAGTCCTAATCCCTAACCATTTATTTATTAATTTGCAAAAATATTAACAAAAAACAAAAACATACAAAAAGTTTTTACTGAGTCTGTTTGGATGTTTTGGTTGAAGGAGAGTGTTGAAATGTTTATTTATTTTCCCTTCATCAGTGTAAACAGATTACTTATTAAATCAAATCAACAGATTATTTATTAAATCAAATCAACAGATTATTTATCAGAACAAATCAACAGATTATTTATCAGAACAAATCAACAGATTATTTATTAGATCAAATCAACAGATTATTTATTAGATCAAATCAACAGATTATTTATCAGAACAAATCAACAGATTATTTATCAGATCGAATCAACAGATTATTTATTAGATCAAATCAACAGATTATTTATTAGATCAAATCAACAGATTATTTATTAGATCAAATCAACAGATTATTTATTAGATCAAATCAACAGATTATTCATCAGATTAAGTCAATTG